TTTATTCAGTTTTGTTAAACAGCCAGTAAACACTTTTATATAATCATTGTCATTTTTTTGGAGTCTTACATACAATGCTTTTCCCCCACCAATTATATATTCTTATCCACCTTTTTCCGAATATTGTCTCATCTTTACCGTGTAATAACATAGTCCGTTTATCCAATTCGGCTATCTCCAGCGGTTTCTTAACTATATCTAATCTAGAGGGTAATTTATCTGATTTCCAACATTGGGCTCATAATTCTTGATGAAGTTAAAATATATGTTAATAAAGATCTGTATTCGCTTCCTAGGTTGTCTGGAATTGTATTTAACGTATATTTCTGGTACCAAATCCACATTAATATTCATCATTTCTAATATAATCTGTTTTATACTTTTCCAAAACTTTTGCATCCTACAACGTTTCCACCACATGTGAAAAAACGTTCCTATATTCTTACATTTCCAGCAATTTTTTGAAGTTTGAGGTGCAAATTTTCCAATTTTATCTGGTGACCAATACCATCTATGAAACATCTTATATAAATTTTCTTTATATGCTGTTGAACTGATATATCATAGACTTCCATATTTTGGCCCAGTCGTCAATATCTATCGTATAGCCCATATCTTTCATCCATGCTACCATTCAGGGTTTAACCATCTCATCTTGCAAATATTGTTCTATCAGAAAGGTATATACTTTTTGTATTAACTTATCACTGGTTGACAACCAAATTTTATCTAGTTCATTGTTTCCCGTATAGAACCCCGTAGTTTTATCTTTGCTGTATATAGATTTAAGTTATGTACTTTCCCATCATGTTAAGTGTTTCATTGCTATGTCCAAGTTTTTAATCTTGTTTTTTTTATCTAGTATATTTTTATATGTTTCTATCTTGTCTTTAGTCAGAAGGTTTGGTTTTATGAATGCTTCAAGTGGGGAAACCCACCGTGGTATTTTCTCATAATATTTTTCTTTCAGGTTCCGCCAATATCTTATCAGAGATCCCCTAATTATATGTTGATGGAAATTTGCATGAACTTTATATTCGTCATACCAAATATAGGCATTCCAACCCAATAAGATCATATCCTTCTAAGTTTAAAGTTCTTCTATCTTCTAATTTTATCCAGGTTTTAATCCAGGTTAAAGCCGCAGCTTGATAATAAATTTCCCAATTTGGAAATCCCATACCGCCTCTTTTTTTTTTTCCTTGTAAATATTTCTAATTCTTGTTTTTTTGGGATACCATACAAATTGTCTCGTCATTTTATCCAAATCTATAAAGAAGTTCTTTTTCTTTAGTATTGGTATATTTTGTGCTAGAAAGAGGAAGCGTAGTAAAATATTCATTTTTATAGTGGCTATTCTTCCCAGTAGTGATAATTGTAGATATTTCCATTTTAGAAGGTCTTTCTTGATTTCTTCCAATAATTTTTCGTAATTGTTTTCCATTAAACCACTATTTCTGTTAGTCATATGGATACCTAAGTAAACAATCTTGTTAGTTATTTCAAGTTTTGCGACCTTGGAGATCTCGTCTTTCTCTTCTTGTGTGCAATTCTTGGTCATTATCTTTGTGGGGTTTTTTTTGTATTTAATTTAAACCCTGCTACCTCTCCGTATTTTTGTATTGTGTCTAACAATGGTACTATCGAGGTCTCTGGCTCTTCCAAAATAAAGGCTAGGTGGTCCGCAAATGCTTGGAGTTTGAAGTCTTCATCTTTAACTTTCAGTCCTTTTATTTGCTTGTTTTCTCTTACTAGATCATTTAATGTTTCTAAGACAAAGATAAACAGTAATGGAGATAAGGGGCACCGTAAGGGAAGATCTTGTCTCACTAACCTGTTAAGTGTTTTTTGAGGAAGTAAACAAACATGTGGACAAGGGGGATCCAATAGATGTTGTTTACCTTGACTTCCAGAAAGCTTTTGATAAAGTTCCTCATCAAAGGCTCCTAAGTAAGCTCAATAGTCACAGGATAAAAGGACAAATCCTCTTGTGGATCAAAAACTGGCTAATTAATAGGAAACAGAGAGTGAGTATAAATGGGCAATTTTCTCAGTGGAGGGTGGTAAGCAGTGGGGGTACCACAGGGATCAGTACTTGGTCCGATGCTTTTTAATTTGTTTATTAATGATTTGGAGTTGCGAGTAAGCAGTGAAGTGGCTAAATTTGCAGATGACACAAAGTTGTTTGTTTAATTTTATTTATTATTGTATTTCTATCCCGCCCTCCCCGCGAATGGGCTCAGGGAGGCTCACAGACAAGGGCAACATGTGCCAATATAAAACAATAAAAGCAGATAAAACAGCATACTTAACAATAATAAAGTGCTCAGTGATGTTACCCAGTTAAGCACATCAAGATGGTGACCTATAGGTGTTACCAAAAAGCTTGTTTCAGTGGTACTGATCCATCAGAACACTGTGGCTGTTCAGGGTGGTGAGAACCAGGGAGGATTGTGAGGCACTCCAAAGGAATCTGTCGAGGATGGGCGAGTGGGCGTCAACGTGGCAATGGGGTTCAATGTGGCCAAGTCCAAATTGATGCACATTGGAGCCAAATCCTAACACATTGATGGGTCCAAACTGGCAGAGACTGACCAAAAGAGAGATCTTGGAGTTGTAGTAGGTAACTCAATGAAAATGTCGAGACAGAGTGTGACTGCAATAAAAAAGGCCAAAGCTATGCTGGGGATTATTAGGAAGGGAATTGAAAACAAATCAGCCAGTATCATAATGCCCCTGTATAAATCGATGGTGTGACCTCATTTGGAGTACTGTGTGCAGTTCTGGTCACCACACCTTAAAAAGGATATTATAGCATTGGAAAAAGTGCAGAAAAGGGCAACTCGAATGATAAAAGGGTTGGAACACTTTCCCTATGAAGACAGGTTAAAACGCTTGGGGCTCTTTAGCTTGGAGAAACAACGGCTGAGGGGTGACATGATCGAGGTTTATAAGATTATGCATGTGATAGAGCAGGTAGAGAAAGAGGTACTTCTCTCTCTTTCTCACAGTACTAGAACTTGTGGGCACTCCATGAAATTGCTGGGCAGTGAGGTTAGAATAGGTAAAAGGAAGTCCTCCTTCACCCAAAGAGTGATTAACACATGGAATTCACTGCCACAGGAGGTGGCAGCGGCTACAAGCATGGACGGCTTCAAGAGGGAATTAGATAAGCATCTGGAGCAGAGGTCCATCAGTGGCTATTAGCCACAAGGTATAGATAGGAACTCTCAGTCTGGGGTGAATGATGCTCTGTATTCTTGGTGCTTGGGGGGGGGGCAACAGTAGGAGGGCTCCTAGTGTCCTGGCCCCACTGCTGGACCTCCTGATGGTACCTGGTATTTTTGGCCACTGTGTGACAGAGTGTTGGACTGGATGGGCCATTGGCCTGATCCAACATTGGCTTCTCTTATGTTCTTATGTAAGAGATATTAAGCATATGGTACATACTTATTCTGTATTAAAATCCATGGCATTAACACCCGTTGTATATTATTTTTTCTAATGGTGGGATTCTAAGGTTCAGGACCCTGCCAGTTCCAACATTGTTACAAAAAAATCTGGACACACACGACCCGATCAGTTAAACAAGTATAAAGCCAACAGTCGTGTTAGTCTGACCCACAATCAAACAGTCATAAGACTTATAAAGAATGCTGTTTATGTATTGCAATTCAAGGATTTTCTATTGAGTTGTGTATCATGTTGTAGTGCTTTAGATTGCAATACATGAACAGCATTCTTTATAAGTCTTATGACTGTTTGATTGTGGGTCAGACTAACACGACTGTTGGCTTTATACTTGTTTACCGGTTCCAACATTGTGACAGAATGTAGTACCCAAAGTTGATAAATCTCATTTTATTTGGTTATTTAAAGCAGTCGTTCCAAAGTAGCAAGATACTTTGCATGAGTATGCTCTTTAACTTGATCCAGCTGTCTTTCCTATCTGTTTATTCAAATCTCATGAGAAGGTTTTGTTTGCCAGCCCGGAGATTTCATGTAAATCGCTTTTTCTTGAGCCCTCTTTTTAAAACAGTTTTAAGAATTGTTCAGTTGTTCAATATCATGCTGAGTTTATATTCTTGTCATAAACAGCTCCAATATTTCATTTCTAGCTGAATTAACTGCTGCTCATTTTGGTGGAGGCGGTGGTCTTCTTCGTAAGAAAGCTCTCTTGGGGCAGGAAAATGAAAAGGATGAAAAATGTAAATCGCGCAAGGAGCTCATTGAGGAACTAATTGCGAAATCCAAACAGGAAAAGGTAAATTCTGAGCATATAAACTGAAAATAAATTCTCTTGACTTTGTGGTGGAAGAGTACTGCTCTGTTTGGTCCTGGGAGGCATCTAGCAATTGTCCTGAGTCCCTCACCCAGCAACACTCTGCTCTCCCAGTTTGTCTAACCCTCGGAGGGTTTTCCGTCTCTCGCTTCTCTTCTGGTGCACTCCCATCAACTGGTCTTTTGAGGAAATTCCTGTCAAGGGGGCTAGTACTCCCGGCTTCTATTTCTATGGCACCATTCTAAGGCTCTGAATATGTCCCTGTCTCCCACTGAGCAGTGACCTTGGGTGTGTGTGGAATGCCTCTTGCACTTGTGCACTCCCAGGGAAATAGTGGTTCTCATCTCAAGACAACATTTTTCCTGCCTGGGCTAAATTGTGTAATGAAATTTTCCTCAGACTTTTTGACAACTGAAACTCCTGGCATGCATGCCTGCATATCACCTCAAACTCAGACCTTCTCAGGGGACTCGCTTTAAACTTTCAGTTTCCTTCAAGTTTAGAAAGGTCACTGTGTGTGAACCAGGAGGAGTTTTCAAAATACAGTCTTGAGTTTGTCAAGTAGTTTTGATTGTGCATGACCACATTTTCCTTGTGGAGGAGTTTGCAAATTAAGGGACTTGTGCTGTAATTATTTTCACTTCTGTGTTGTTGTTGTTTCTTTTTAGAGAGAGCGACAGGCTCAGAGAGAAAATACACTAGAACTTACAGAAAAACTTGACAATGATTGGAAAGAAATCCAAGCCTTTCTGTCCCACAAAGGTTCCAAATCAGAGACAAAACACAAAGTAGAGGAGAAGGTCAAGGTAAATGGTGTCATTCATTTTGTTCTTCTGTGTTGATGCTAGCTTTCTGTTTCTGACCGGGGCCCATGTTGATTTTAAAACTGTATGTAAGCTGCCCTGAGCCACTTCGGCAGAAGGGCGGGATAGAAATCTAACTAATAAATGCAAAATAAAATAAATAAATAGTGACTGGCATAGAGGGAGCAAGTTAGAAAAATCCTACACGCACCCCCCACACAGACAATAGTGCTGAGCTCCAGATATAGATAAAGTTGCTTCTCAGATGCTTAGTCCTGAACGTCAGACTATTTTACTATAAGGCAGGTGCCCTAATTGCTCCTTTAGCCCTGAATCTGTGTGGTATTTTGCTGTGGGGGGACTGTTCTCTCCCAGTTCAGTTTAGGGGAAACTTTCGTCCCTTTGCTCTTTTTTTCCCACAGGCACACCCACACCCACGTTACATTACAATGAAAGTTGTTAAGGTCTCTTTCAACTTTTGTAACTTTGAGTCTTCAGGGATGGTGCATGCAGATTTAGGACTGGAAACAATGTTTTTCTCTAATTTCAACTAAATACTTTCAAGACATTTTAAAGCTCAGAAGCGTCTCATGGCATGGGTTTCAACCCTCATCCCGACCTCCACCCCACATCCAGCCAGTATAACCTGTCAGGATATCTGCCAGACCAGTTTCTCCCCTGCTCTTCCTTTAACTGAAGCGCGTGTGCCTTCACGATGAGGTGTATTTTGGAGTCCTGGAGCAGGCAGAAGTTTGTCTTTGCTGCTCTGCTTTGCAGCCCGGGGCCATAGCTGAGTGTGCCAGACCAGGGAATAAGTAATAGGGAGTTTCCCCGTCTTCTGTAGTGCCAGACCGCTGATATCCAGGGGTGGATGGACACTTTTTTCTTCTCTAGCTTTGAACCTCACAATCTCGTGCTACAGCAAAACTTGGTTTTTTTCTGGTGGATTCTTCTGCATGCATGTATTCTGCAGAATACGCTGCCAGCATCATCCTTTGATCTGCAACTCTTTCTGCAGCCAGATGAATATGACATGATCGTTCGAGAGCTTGGATTTGAGATGAAGGCACAGCCCTGTGGCAGGATGAAAACTGAAGAAGAGCTGGCGAAAGAGGAGCAAGAGAGACTTCTCCAGCTGGAGGTATTGCTCCTGTTTGTGTTTTCTTTTGACCTGTTTCCAGTGGGTTTTCTGTGATTTTATGTAAGATGCTGTAACATCCTGAAATACAAATCTGTCAGCTTCATAATTTTGATATCGGTTTTCCTTTCCTTCTGTATTTTTGAAGTGTTATTGTTTGACCAAAAGTCAAAGTCCTTTAGCTCAGCTGAACATTGGTAACATAGTTTATTTTCAGGTCAGAAAACTTGACAGTGCCGCTACCTTAGGCTTTTCATGTGTTCTGGAGTATGTGTTCTCTCTTCTGCTATTTGAAAAGTGTAACAGCCTGAAAACGCTTCAGAAGTCTACAGATCAAGACAGGCAGTCGCTGCGTTTGTCTGTCTGTAGCAGCAGACATGGATCACTGCCTTGTCGTGGCGAGGGGGCTTGCGCGGTTCGATGAAGCTGTGGGCTATGCCGTGAAGGGCCACCCAAGATGGACAGGCCACAGCAGAGAACTCAGACCAAGTGTGATCCCCTGGAGACAGGAGGGCCTGGCGGGAGCTGGTCCATGGGGTCACGAAGAGTTGGACTCGACTGTGCGACTGAACAACAACAAGCAGCAGAAAAGAGTAAGAGTCCAGGAGCACCCTGAAGGCTAATGCCTTAAAGACTAATACCCTGCCACAAATGTTGTTAGTCTTTAAGGTGCTACTGGACTCTTCTTTCTACTGGAAGCCTACAGTAAAGCACAACTCAAAACAGCACAAAGACACCAATGAATTATCTGTCCTAACCAGTTGCACAACGTTATACGTTCCTTAGCTTCAATTCTATTCCTTTGGGTGGGGCAGAAATCTTTTTCTGCAGTGGTTCATTGTTTTGTAGTGGGAAGAGAACTTTGTAATGCTTTCTTGCAAAGTACGTAAGCAAGATTGGGTCCTGCCGATGTTCTACTGGTGGACACTGGTCTTCTCTCACCTTCCCCTCCCCCTAGAAGCCCCTGTAGTCCACAAAAAGGCATTGTTGTTGGTGGACCCTTGCAGATAAAAAAGCCAGTCTGGTCAGGAGCCTACAGTGAAGAAGGGAGTTGGGTGAGAGCATCTCTTTTCTATTGATGATGGACCTCCTGTAGAACTGAGCCTGTTACCTGAAGGGCCAAGGTTGCCCCCAATGACATCGTCCACTTCTGCGCTCCAATTACATGGGAAGGCAGTGCCCGGATTTTTGTTCACTATTCTTTATTTTGTACAGCTTCTTCTTTTAAGTCTTCTGTGTGAGCATTTCCTGATGTATCCTTAATTTCTGATAAGAAACGCAGGCCCCTCACAAGACTACTTGATCATTTGTGTGTCGTGTTCATCAAGGCTTAAAGACAAACACCCCATCAATATTTCTTGCATTCTGCCCAGGGTCTTTCTCGTATACCATATCTAGCAACCCTTCCAACAGTGTCTGCTGTAGCAAGTATATGCCTGGTTGTAATGATGTGGCACTGTTAATGAAGTGTTTATTTTTAATGATATTAAGATAGAAATTTGTGACAATGGGCAATATCTTCATGTGTATATAATGTCCTGTTGGGGTTTGGTCCTTCATCCACATTGAGCATTTTTATGATGTTTTGTTCTTGCAGATCCTTGTGGTACAGCTCACATTTTGCAAGATTCCCTTTTCTATGCTGAGGAAGAAGGGATTTAAACTATTCCCAAATGATGTTGATTTTATGGCATAGTAGCTTTTTTTTGTCGCAAGGACAGGGGGATGTACACCAAGGAATGTGCACATGAGAATTAAGGTGACTGTTCAATCAAGCAATGGTGCCAACCCAGCAGCTGGACTCAGTTAGCAGAACGTTTTGTTGATTAGAATTGTTAGTCATAACAAACGGTGACTGCCCATGATGGTCCTCTTAGCATATTCATATTTGCTGTGGTAGAAAAACCTGACCGGGTGTTGTCATTTTAAATTGCAGGCAGAGAGATTACGTCGAATGCATGGCGAAGATGACATTGACACCAAAAAGAAACCGAAGCACATTTCAGCTGATGATTTGGCAGATGGATTCATCCTAGATAAAGATGACAGGCGTCTTCTTTCTTATAATGTATGCTTCTCTGGTTTTTTGTGTTTTTTTTTGGGGGGGGGGGTGGCGGCTAAAAAGTTGGATCACAACCCAGCCCATGATATGGCAGGAGCAAATTGCAAGGTGGCCTCTATGTACATACGTAACTCAAAAGGCTGGCTCCTGGTAGCCTTTGCGCACCACACTTTTTAAGAAGGGCACCCTGTATTTTGAAGGCATTCAGTTGCTCCCACTGAGATTTATATCCGGAGTGGCCAAAATCTGGCTATTATTCTTCAAGGATGTGGAACCATTTATGTGTGGGGGGAAGTGACTGGGTAGATGGGCTGGTTTTGGGAGAATGCATAAAAAACTTTGCCAAATGCCAGTGTGGGAGCCTTAGAGAAGTGAAATCCAGTATGCTTGCTAGCACACACACACACACACACACCCCGCCTTGTGTTGTAGTGCACAGGCGATTCGCATGCTGCCGAATAATTCAACCTAGGAGGGAATCCAGAACTTGATGTATAGCATGAGCTTTGCATATGTAACGGCCTGGTTTGATCCCTGGCACCCCCGGGGGGCAAAGGACCTCTGGCAGCAGGGCTGAGGTTTCTCCTGGGGCCTTGGAGAACCTCTGCTGGACAAAACTAATTAGGTAGGTCAGTACTAGTCAGCCTCAGAGTAAGACAGGTTCATTGAGCCACGTAGGAGTTCCCCCCCCCCCCCCCCAATTTCATTGTGTGAAATGATAGTTGCCAGATGCTTGGAGGTGGTTTGCCCTGTCAGTGTATCTGTCGAGTCCGTCCTGAGAGTCAACAAGTACAGTGTGGAAACGTTACAGCAGCTCTTCTTCCACAGATGGCAGCTTGGCAGTGTGCCCACTGTTCTATATCATAACTTGATTGTAACATCTCATCAGTTTCAAATCCAACCGATTGAGAGTTATAGCTGGTAGTGTCACAATGAGCATTCATGTTGCATGTACGTGTTCGGGCTTTACCCGTAGCTGCTGCTCCTGCCCTTGCCTTGTGGAAACTGCTGGGCCACCCATTCATCCAAATTAGAAGGTCAAGGGCTGTGTCCTTGTTACCAAAAGCAATAGCAGTTTTAATGCAGAATAATTCCTCAGGTCAATCAATGTAACTCTGTTGAACAGGATGGAAGATTGAATATTGAAGATGACAAAGATGAGGATGTGGAAGAAAGTGTAGGGAGAACAGAAGACGACAGTGAGGAGGAGGAGGAGGAAAGTGAGGAAGGATCTGGAAGTGACGCAGATGCTGTCGACAGTCACTCTGATCTTGAATCAGACGATGGAAGTGTGGAAAAAGCCAGTGCAGGAGAAGAACGGGAAAAGATAAATGAAGGGAGCGAAAATAAATCACCATCTAAGGACCAAAACGCAAAGAAGAAAGCCGCCGGTCTGGAGCTGCCATATACGCTTGCTGGTAAGAGGAAATCTTAATGCTGTTTGGCGTCAGGGCATTCTGTAGAAGAGCTGCTTGGTGTCATTTTAAATGGTAGCCACAGCAGCACCACAGGGTCAGGCACGAGAAAGGGGGCGGTTTCTGAATGCCAGAGGGAATGTCCAGCATGCCAAAAAAAGAGACCTTACTCCAAGATCCTCCCGAGGGGCAACCCCGCCAGGGCCCTGGCATGTGTGTCTGCTGCTGCCTTAGAGCCCTGGTGGGATAGAGACAGATGCCAGAACTCTGTCCAGTGGCTTTGAAGGAATTGGGGCTCCTTGCCCTGTTTCAGAACTTCTATGCCAGGAAAAGCGCCAGGGACTCTCCCTCAGAGGGGCCAGCAGCAATGGAGTAGGACTTCCTTTTCTCTTAATGTCTCTGCATGACTCCCACCTAACTGAAGTGGTCACTGTAGTGGTCACCACAATGGCATGATGGGGCCTCTCCCAGACAAGGCTTGGTTCCCAAGTCTCCTAAGACTCGGGGAAAACTGACTCGCGGATACCCTACAACTTGCGAGTAGGTGCTGCGGCTTCGTTACTTTCCAAGCTGTGCTGGGTGACCTAGGTCCCCAGAAAAAAGGTTTCGGGAATGGGATCCACCGTTCCAGGGCCAACCTACGAACCCTACTTATGGTTTAGAAAACGTGGGGGGGACTCTCCCTCTCTCTTTCACCTGAATCTTGGCACGTCCTGAACCTTAGTTTAGGCCAAAAGGGATCATCTGTGTCCGCTTTTGCCAGGGCATCATCTTTTTTTCTTTTTTTTTTAATTTATAATTTTTATTTTCAATAACAACCAAAACAACACAGCTTAAGTAACATAGTTTGTCTAACTTTACATGACTTGCATATTAAAAAGCAATAAAAGCATTTAATAGAGCATTTATACAAAGCTTATATGTGTTTTCATGACGTTTTTTAATCATTTATTCAGGTGTCTTAACAACCTAACCTATTATAAACTCAACCTTCCCTCCCCCCCACCCCCCAAAAACATTTCTAAACGTTCTAAAATCAACATAAACATAGGAAATACAGGAACCAGCTTTACATAGCTGGTTAGATAGCCCAATGCTATCACCTGTTTCCCTAAAACTAGGAGCTACAAACTTTTACAACTCCCCCCGTTCCCCCTTCCCCAGTCATATTAAAGCATTTCAAACTACCCATTCAAAAGCATACAATATGTTTCCATTGTGTAATAATTATAAAGCTTGTCTGCTTCCAGTATATACTGGAAGTTTGCTGGATTTCAATGGAGACAATGGAAATAAGTTTCTTCTTTTAAAGGATCTTTTACCTCCCTCTGGTTCCATTGGAGTTTCTGTTTGCAGAGCTTGCATTAGCTGTTTTCCACTTTCTTCATCGTATGCATAAAAATGCTTGCCTTGATAATAAACATAAAGTTTACCAGAGGGTAACCATCGATATTTTTGCTTTAAATCCTGCAGCTGTTTGGTGGTTACTTTTAATTTTTTCCTGATCAGCAAAGCGTCTCTCGGGACATCCGGATAAATGGAAATTTGTTCTCCCATATATACAAAAGTTTTAGCATTTTGTGCCTCAAGTAGAATCCTTCTCCGTACTCTTATATCAGGTATTGTTATAAGAATGTCTCTTGGAGTATTTCGTTTAGTGTTATAATTAAGTCCTATACGAGTTGCATTAGTGATAATTGGAAATACACCTTCCTCAAGCTTCAATGCATTTGCTATGAAAGAGGCTACAAAAGAAATTAAATCTTCATTACCTCCTGCCTCCTCCGGAAATCCACGTAATTTCAAATTTGCAGCTTTTTGTTGAGTTTCCACAGTCAGTAAACGGTCTGTAACAGTAGATACATGCTCAGATAAATGTTTGATATTTGTCTGATTTTCTTTGCTATGCTCCAGCGCTGAATCTGCTTTCTCCACTGCTTGTGATACAGAGAGTTTAATTTCTTCAACATGTGATGTAACTTAGTGTAGTTATACGATTGATCAGGCTAGTTTCCATAGTCTTTAAGTAATCCAAAATTGTTGAGTCGGATGTCTGTTGTATGCTGCTCTCCGCCGGTTTTGCGATCGTCGCCATTTTGTCTTCGGTATGCTTGTTTAGGCCTCGTTTTTTCTCAGCCTCAAAAAGATCCTTAAGTAGCCGAGAATTACTGGAAACCCCTCCAATTCTTTTCTGCTCTCTCTTGCCCATATTGGGAGGTGGCTTTAGTGTGCTTCAAGGTAGTTTAAGCGTTTTTTTAAAGGAGAAGGGGTACTGTGGGACCGGGAGCTGCAAAGTTATGCGGCTGCTATCCTCGATAGCCCCGCCCCGCCCCCCTCGCCAGGGCATCATCTTGAACCCGAATTTAGGCCGAAGGGATCATCTGCATCTGCTTCGCCAGGGCAACGTCTTGAACCCAAGTTTAGGGGCAAGGGATCATCTGCGTCCTCTTGCCCAGGGCAACGTCTTGAACCCAAGGTTTAGGATGGGTGGTCACAGCCTATCTCCCAAGGCGCGTCTTGAACCTAGGTGCAGGTTTTGAGAGTGTGGGGGATCGGTGCCACACTTCTCTGACTGGATACCCGCTAACCAGCTGTTGAGGTTTGGGCGTCGCACCCTTAGATGAGGTTACCTCTAACTTATTTTGGAGGTTTTCCAGACAATGTGTCTGACGTGGGTACCTCTACCACGGCATCGCTTTGTTTGCAAAGCCGACTACGAGCGATGCTGCACTCAAAAAGAAAGTGTGTGTGTGTGTGTGTGTGTAGTGCTTGGTGCAACTGGGGACTAACTTATCGTCCTACAGTATTCATCTCGGCTCCCACCCGCGATAGACCGGAGCGCGGCGCGGGGCTGCTCCAAGGATTTCAGGACAGAAAGAAACAAAGAAAGCCCACCCACGATAGAGTGCTCCTCTCGAGCCAGGCACGCAGACAGCAACCTTTCACACAGCCTTCACCGGTCCCTGGAGGGAACGATTCCTCTACGTCTGCGCGTTTGAGAGACAGCGTGTTGACTCGCTGGCCGTCGTGCGCACAGGGCAATCCCAGCGGTGCCTCCAATTTCCTGTTAGCCAAATTGCGTTATCTACAGCAATTGGCAAATTTTAAACTGGGTGCTTGCCAACTATACCAAGGTCCTGTTCCCACCAAAGGGTTACCAGAGAAGGAATCGAGGCTGGTGTTAAAATAACTGTCTTTTACTTAAGAATATAAATCACATACAAACAATACTGATGCACTTACACATTCAATCAAGCTCCTCAGAAATACAGTATTAAAATAAGCACGTTTGCATTAGCAGGTGGGGTGATGAGAAAGGATACTTATCTGTCCTGAAGCTTGTTCGTTCCAATGAAGAATGGATGGGAAGAAATAGAATTCTAGGGAAGTTAACACGCGACCAGAACCAGCCAGCATGTGCGGGTCTCTTGACTGCAGATCAAGAGATCAAAGTAGAGGCAAGGGTTTGGGGATAGCAAGCTGGACAAAAGGGGAGTATAAAGCAGACAGGGGCTGTTGCGGGGGATGCTAGCTAGGAAGGGCCAGGTGAATGGTCCTTACCTTTCATAGGTGGTCCATTAGGTGGGAGGTAACAGTTCCAACCTGTGGACCCACCTACCTATTAGTCCGTCCCAAAAACAATCCTATTGGTTGCGTGTAGTGAGGGGTGGCTACCTAGAGGGTTGGACAATATTGTAACCTAAGACCTAACTCAATACGCAGCTTCACGCCTCCGAGTCTTCAGGCTGCGAGGGGGGGGAGGGAGTACAGAGTGCGCTCGGAGGCAGATGACCGGCCGGCCAGGGCAGACGCAGCTTCATGCGGCTGACACAGGGTGCACACCAAGCGCTCTTTGGAAGCTTGCGCTGTCAGGAGCTTCCCCACCTTCCATTGGCCGTGTCACCGACCTGCCATTCAAGCCTACTGCCCTGCCATGGGCTGGGAGGTGGGAGGCAAGCCCTGTGTCTGAGGACGCCCTGGCAATGCGCCCCACGCCGCGCCCGGGTTCCCCCCCCCTTTTGCCAACTCGCCCGGCAAACCGCACAGACGGAACAGCCTTTCTGAAGCCTCCCCCACCCACCTCGCTTCTCTCTCCCACCTGGGAAGCCGGATTCCTTCCGCCGCCCTCGCTCGCCTGCAGTTTAAACCCCCTCCCCTTCTCAGCGGCCCGTCCAAGCGAGCCGCTGGAAGGGGACGCGGTTCTCAGCCCCGCCTTCCGCCACCTGCCCTTTCCTGTCTGTGTCGCCTTGCTCAACCTCCCCGTGCGCCTGGTGAGGGACCCTGCCTGTCTTCGCGGGATGCGGACTCACGCCAACGGGCGGCGGCCCCCTTTCCCCATAGGAACCAATGGGAGTAGACCTGGCCTCCCTCTTGCCATAGGAAACCATTGGAGTAGACCTGGACTCCCCTTTCCCCATAGGAACCCATGGGAGTAGACCTGGCCTCCCCATCGGGATCCATGGGAGTAGACCTGGCCTCCCTCTCGCCCATAGCTATCCATGGGAGTACACTCATCCACCCTACCTGTCTAGGTGCCCATTGTCTCCGTCCACAATGGGCTTTGCTCCCTAGTGTAGAAATAAAGCAGAGATGTGGAGTGCGTTACTACCAACAATTCAGCAATGGGGGCTGCTTCTTCTCAAGTTGTTGTTTTGCTGACAACAATGGAGATGTGTGCTTCCTCACCAGGCTGGTAACTGTGTAGCTGAAACCTCATTCATGTGTTAAGGCTTATGCATGCACTTATGTGTGTGTGTGCACAGTGCATAGTGTGTGTAGCAGCAAATATAGTTCATAAAGCAAATATCAAGTTCATTCTCTAACAGCGGACTCTAATCTGGGAGAACTGGGTTTGATTCCCCACTCCTCTACTTGCACCTGCTGACATGACCTTGGGTCAAGGAGTCTGTAAGCCACTCTGAGACTCCCAAGTGAAGGGTGGGGTATAAATCCAATCTCATCATCTTCTTCTTCTTCTGATACCACGTCCTAATTATGTCACTGAGTTTTACCCTTCCTTTCCATTGGCATGCTCAGTTCTATTATGAAGATTACTATTGTGAAAGACTGGACTGTTACAGCAGTTCAGGGTAAGGCAATTCAATACAAGATGCCCTCTTACTGGGGAGGGGGAGGCCTGGATTTGGCCCCTTGCTTGGTGATCATCAGATAAATGTCTTTTAATGGTGGCAGCAGTGGTAGAGAGTTGAGGATCCTGCCCCTCCCTCTACTGCCGAGAGCTGGTTTCCTGTAGCCCTGTAGGGAACGGATTGTAGTGTTTGCATCTTGTTAATAAGGTTCCTTCTGTTTAAACTTGTGTCTGTTTTGCTTTTGCAACAGCTCCAGGATCCTATGAACAGCTTAAAGCATTATTGTTGGGGAGACCAGTGGAAGAGCAGCTGCTTGTGATAGAAAAGATCAAGAAGTCCAACCATCCAAGCTTTGCCGTGGCGAACAAAGCAAAGTTAGAAGTACGGGTTTTTCCTCTCTCGCAGTCCAATGAATGCACTATTCAAAGAGCAGTCTGGAAAAATACTTTGTTGACTAAGTGGAACAAGATAACATTTTGTATGCAAAAATTTATTCACTAACTTAAAAAATTGAAACATTGAACAGTGAAACAATGTGTTTTACAGAAACTGTTTGGATTCCTTCTGGAGTACATTGTGGAGCTGACAGCAAGGGAGCCTCCAGAACTGAAAACCATCGATAAGCTGGTTCTGTAAGTACAGCAACATTATTTCTCTACTTTTCAAGATAGAAGGGGAACTGGCTGCAAAACACCTTTGCCTTCCTTAGTTAGTATTACCTATGGTATAATATTATGTCTGTATCAGCATGAACTATGGTTAACATGAGCCAGCTTGGTATATTTATTTATTTATTTATTTTATCTTTCAACTTTCTACCCCGCTCGAACCCCCCACCCCAAGGGGGTCTCTGAGCGGCTTACAGTTAATCGATTATCCCTACCTATGGCCACATATACTGGGGATGGGGACTGCCGTACCGGCACCCTGTGGAGGGTCTTTGTTGATCTTCTTCCTCCCGGTCGGCTTGTCGGCTCGGCTTCCAGGCTTCCGGCTCTCACTTCCTCCTCCTCCTCACGGTCTTCCGGTGGCGGATCAGCAGGTCCCTCTGGCGCGCGGTATGCTCCGGCGCGGCTTAGGCTCCGCCGCGCCTACGCCTTCCACGATCGTCACGTCTCTTGGCTCCGCCTTCCGCCACGTCCGGTCCACCGTAGATGTTGCACTCAGTCACCATCTTTTGCCGCTCGCTGTTCTACAGGTTAGGAGTGCAGATTCTTATCTAGGAGAACCTGATTTGATTCCCCACTCCTCCACATGCAGCTGCTGGTGTGACCTTGGGTCAGTCACAAGATCTCTCAGAGCTGTTCTCTCAAGAGCAGGTCTTGAAAGAGCTCTCTCAGACCCACCTACCTCACAGTGTCTGTTGTGGGGAGGAGAAAGGAGATTTAAGCCGCCTGAGACTCCGAGTGAAGGGTGGAGTATAAATCCAATCTCCTCTTCTCTTCTTCATTAGTTTTAACTCAGGGAACCATTTTCAGCTCCTAGTTTTAACTAGAGATGTAAAATTTATGGAAACTGGAGCCACAGTAGGATTGCCAAGTCTTACCATGGCTTTAACGGGGGGAGTCCGGGATCCTTCCAGGAGTCTTCTTATGTGAGCGCTGCGATGACGCCGCCCGGAAGTGACATTATTGCGTCGGGCACGTTGAGGGCGGAGTCACAATCATTCGAGGGAAAACCATAGAGTTTTCCCTCGAATGATAGAGCGTCGCCCGCAACGTACATGACATGATGATGTCATCGCGCCAGGCACATCTGGCACTTTGGGGGCGGGGTTCCTCCTGGCGGCCCAATCTGGGCCGGGCGGGGAACGGGCCTCTTCCCTTCCCCCCCATGGGGACTTGGCAACCCTAAGCCACGGGGTGGGGAAGTGTTCTTTGTTCTCCCTTTTTTGTAAAAAAAATTGGAAATTTTGGGTAAAATTGAAATATATGCAATACTTACTGTCCTATCAAACCTAAATAATTTTACTGCTCTAACAGCATAACATGCATTATTTATAATTTAGCATATACAATTACAGTATTTGATTTATTTGTGCAATTTAAAAACTATAAATGCCTCAGTTTTGTACAAACAGAATCACAAATCTATCCAGTGTTTGAGAGAAAACCACATGCTGGTGCTCCCTGTGCTATCTTGGCACAGATACCCTAATTTTTGCTATCAGGTTAAAGACAGCTTAAGTTCTCAGCGAAACTTTCAGCTTTCCTCTAAGGCTCTGGTGTGGCTTCTGCCCCACCTCCTGATCTTTTTCTCTCTCTCCTACAAGGTAAGGAACTAAGCTACTTTTTACCTAGTCCGTGGGTAAACATGTCAGCGTGGTTTGAGAGAGCGGTGAAAAGGTCAAACCACATTCAGTCAAAAGGACAACAAGAAGGCCTGCAACTGTTAAGCATTGAAAGCCCTGCATGCTCCCCTCATGAGGATTAGGTGGTCTTCTAGATGCAGAAACACATCCTGGATTCAAGGGCTGTATCTTTCTGCAGCAGTGGTAGCCAAACTCGCTCAACGTAAGAGCCACATAGAATAAATGTCAGATGTTTGAGAGCCACAGGACAGGAACAGATATTACAAGTTTTTACTGAGAAATATGCAAATTTGCTTTTTATTATTAAATGAAACTGCTAAAAATAATAACAAAAGTAGGAAAAGCAGATACTGATAATGATATTTACTTGTCCGTGATATTTGTTTGCTAATGGAATTTAGCTTCCCCAGTCGCCCTGCCGGGAGCCACACGATATGTATGAAATAGCAGCATGCCCACCATGTCTTTAAAGGCATTTCATTCATTCTAAAAGAGACAATATTTTGTAAAAGCTTTTTTATACTTTGCAAAATCCCCCGTTTTTCCAAAAACGGGGGGAGGGGGGGAATGGGTTTTTTAAACCAAAGTTTTCTGGATTGCAGCGGTGGAAAATGGTCAGTAAAATCAGTTGTTGTTGTTGTTGTTCAGTCGCACAGTCGAGTCTGACTCTTCGCGACCCCATGGACCAGATCACGCCAGGCCTTCCTGTCTTCCGCCGTCCTCTGAATCAGTAAAAGTCAGTGTTTTCATCTTGGTCAGTAATTTGTCAGTTTTTTTTTTAAAAAAAATGGTCAGTAAAGTCAGTATTTCTTTAATTTTTGTGAATGCAGTTTGTATTTTTCTGCTTTCATTACTGCATTTTTGGGGAAACACAATGACTTCCCAGTGAGAAGACAGGTTATTTTCTGTTTAGTTATGAAGTACTTTAAGGAGTTTATTCCTAAGAGTAAAAGTGATCTGGTGAAATCTTCCACAAAGTATAGAAACATAATTAACCTCTTAAAACATGAGACAATGAAAGTGGAGGTGGTGGATATTGTGGGATTCAACATGGCCCAGCTCATGCTAGAAGGAGTTGAGAAAGCAATGGAAGAAGAGGACAAGGGGGGGAAATGCTTGTGAATGGAGTGCAGAAAACTGTTGAGAAAGAAAGAGTTCGTGAATAACTTTATTTATTGATTTATTCAATTTATGCCCTGCCAGCTTACAAAGAGATTAAACATATAGGTAACAGATTATATACAAGCGTAAAACAAATAACAAAACTCTACATTATCATAAAGTGCTAGTAAGTGATCGGGTACTTATAAGAATGCTTACAGAAGGCAGAACCAATACTAGTGTTGTAATCAGATGATCTATATTGATGATTGGCTCATCTTGGTCTCTATATTTGGGCAACAGCACAGCCAAGACCAGGGCACTGTCACTTCTCAGTTATTTGATGTTATTTGGTGTGGCTCCTTAGTCGAAGGCCTGGTGGAAGAGCTGCATCTTGCAGGGCCTGCAGAAATGTAAAAGGTCCTGAGGGTCTCTTCTGGGAGCTCATTCCACCAGTACGGAGCCACCACTGAGAAGGCCCTGGCCCTGGTTCTGGCCAGCCTGGCATCTTTAGGACCTGGGAGGCCCATTGATTTTGTGACCCTGAGCGCAGTGCTCTCTGGGGAACGTGTGGGGAAAGATGTTCCCTCAGGTATGTTGTCCCCTGACAATATAGGGCTTTAAAGGTAAGTACCAGCACCTTGAAGCAAATTCGGTATGCTATCGGCAGCCAGTGCAGTGCTTTCAGCACAGGCTGGATGTGCTCCTGCACACGGAGGCCCATCAGAAGCCTGGCTGCAGCATTTTGCAATATTTGGGTCAAGGGCACCCCACGTAGAGAGCATTACAGTAGTCCAATCTCGAGGTGGCCATCGTATGGATCACTGTTGCCAAGTCCTTGCATTCGAGGAAGGGAACCAACTGCCTAATCAGCCAGAGGTGGTAAAAGGCTTACTTGGCAGTGGCTGCTACCTGGGCCTCCATTGTTAGGGAGGCATCCAGGAGTACTCCCAAGCTCCTAACCTCCGGCACTGGCACCAATGCTGCCCCATTGAAAGTAGGATCCCTACCCTTGGGCCTCCCCAGCTCAGGCACAGGACCTCTGTCTTCGTCGGATTCAATTTCAGTTGGATCAGTCTGAGCTAACCTGCCACTTGCAGTGCCCAGTCCAGATCTTCCGGTGTAGAGTCAAACTTGGCCACCCAGCAACAGTTGGAGCTGGGTGTCATCCGCATACTGGTGACATCCCAGCCCATGCCTCCAGGCAATCTGGGCAAGGAGGCGGATGTAGATATTAAATAACATTGGGGACAGCACCGCCCCTTGGGGCACTCCACAAATCAGTGGGTGTCTTTGAGATAGCTGCTCCCCTAGCGCCACCCTTTGTCCCCCATCCTGAAGGAAGGAAGCCAGCCATTGCAAGGCAGGCCCCTGGACTCCAGTATCGGCGAGGCGGTGGATCAGTAGCTGATGGTCGACCGCGTTGAACGCCGCCAACAGCTCCAACAGCAACATCACTGCCAATCTGCCCTGATCCAGATGCCTCTGGAGGTCATCTGTGAGGGCGACCAGTGCCATCTCCGTCCCGTGGCCTGGGCAGAAACTGGACTGGAAAGGATCTAGAATGGAAGAGTCATCCAAAAAGCTCTGTAGCTGAATTGCCAGGGCCCTCTCAGTTATTTTGCCCAAATAGGGCAGATTGGAGACTGGCCGGTAATTAGCCAAACCAGCCAGATACAGAGATGGCTTTTTCAGGAGGGGACGGACCACAGCTTCCTTGAGTGCCCTAGGGAACTGTCCCTCCGAGAAGGTCTTGTTGATAATCTCCCTTAGGGCATTTCAAAACCCATCATGGCCAGCTTTAATTAGCCATGATGGGCTAATTAATCAAGGCAGCACATGGTAGGACGTACAGTTAAGAGCAGTTTGTCAACTTCCTCCAGGCTGAGCAGACTGAAATAATCCATAACCTGACTAGAAGACGTGCACGGAGCCTCGAGTTCACTTACTGTCTCAACTGTGGTGGGGAGGTCACGGCGAAGCGACAGGACTTTATCTGCAAAGTAGCTCACAAAGGTCTCACAGTGTCAGGTAGCCCTGTCATAGCATTGGTATGTGGGGGTGATATTCTCCTCCTCGTTCCCAGTGCTTCCCTGCCCAGCTACTGAGTGCTATCGCTATTTTGACCTTGTTGCCAGCTGCACTTAGGCGGCTGGGGACCTTAACGGCTCTAGGCTTTGCTTGCTTGCTCGCTTGCTTCAGCCCGTGCGCGCAAACCAT